ACACCTGTGCAATAATCATGCTGTCTAATCAGCATCTTGATATGCCACACCTGTGAGGTGGATGGATTATCTCGGCAAAGGAGAAGTGCTAACTAACACAGATTTAGACAGATTTGTGAACAATATTTGAGAGAAATAGGCCTTTTGTGTACATAGAAAAAGTCTTAGATCTTTGAGTTCAGCTCATGAAAAATGGGGGCAAAAACAAAAGTGTTGCGTTTATAATTTTGTTCAGTATATATAAACTTAATGCACCCAGGTTGTTAGGCATCAATATGATGTCCAAGATCACTGGTGCTATTGGCTCAAATGAAAGCCAGTTCACTTTTAAATGTAGATTAAATTTTCCTTTTTTTTTTTCCGTCTTGTCAGTTGTTGTCAACCCCATTAGTCTGTCATATACATTGAGTCATTTATTCTGTCTCCACCAGTGCCTGTAGCAGGGTGAATCAGAATGGGAGACAAGCCGATTTGGGAACAAATAGGATCCAGCTTTGTGCAACATTACTATCAGCTGTTTGACACAGACAGGACTCAACTTGGATCGATATATGTGAGTATTGTATTAAGCTCTTTTCTTCAGGATAGTTCTCTTTTGACTAGTCCCTTAGTCGAGAGAGATGTCAAGTAGAAATGTTTTACTGACTCTGCCTTGCCTTCATGTTAGAGTTGAATTGATAAGTTTACTTCACATATTGCTTTCAATCAGTGTGTGATGCCCTCAATTGTAAACAAAAGTACATCTTAACAAGCCCAACAGTGTAACAAACACAATACAAATTATAGTGACCACTGGTACTCACTGGTACTATAGGCTTAAAAGCCAGTGCACCTTTAAATGTAGATGAAAGTTTCTGTTTTTTTCTGTCTGTCAGTTTTTGTCAACCCTTAGTCTGTCATATACATTGAGTCATTTATTCTGTCTCCACCAGTGCCTGTAGCAGGGTGAATCAGAATGGGAGACAAGCCGATTTGGGAACAAATAGGATCCAGCTTTGTGCAACATTACTATCAGCTGTTTGACACAGACAGGACTCAACTTGGATCGATATATGTGAGTATTGTATTAAGCTCTTTTCTTCAGGATAGTTCTCTCTTGACTAGTCCCTTAGCTGAGAGAGACATCAAGTAGAGATATTTTACTGTCTCTGCCTTGCAATCATGTTAGTGTTCAAAGCGTCACTTGGTTTATGTCTTGCAGAGTGACGCTAGATGCCCAGTAACACACAAGTTTTGTCGTGTGTTCAGGAGAGGAGTCTTTTCAGGCCAGAAATGTGGTTCTATACTGGACCTTTAAAAAGAGCCTAAAGTCCTCATACATGAACCTATATTTTCAGCAACATATGTTAAACAGTATGTCAAACATATGTTAAACAATTCTTATATTGAGGGATATTTGTTGAGTATTTATATACATGATTTAATATGTATTTATAAAAAGACTGGCCATAGTACTGCTTTGCTGTGTACATTTTGGCTCCTTTAGCTCAACTAAATGCTATTTTTTTCTTGTCCTAGATTGATGCGTCATGCCTTACGTGGGAGGGTCAGCAATTCCAGGGAAAAGCGGCAATTGTCGAAAAGCTTTCCGTACGTATTTGTGTGTGTTTTGTTAGAGTTGAAGGTTGATTTAAAGGGATAGTTCACCCAAAAATGAAAAATCTGTCATTAATTATTTATCCTTATGTCATTCCAAACCTGTTAGACCCTCATTCATCTCCGGAACACAAATTAAGATATATTTTATTTCGATTTCTTCTCTTCCGTACACCGTCAGCAGCACCACACGCATGCGTCGTGGAACTGTTGTGAATGGCAGCGTAGACTGACCTGGAAGAGAAGAAATTGTTAAATATCAAAATAATTTGATAGGCTAGGGTTTATTTCCTCTAATTCATTTTTTAAAATTGAGGTTGGGAGTTTCCCCTCTATCAACCAATAAATAAATGTGACCCTGGACCACAAAACCAGTCGTAAGGGTCAATTTTTCAAAATTGAGATTTATACATCATCTGAAAGCTGAATAAATAAGCTTTCCATTGATGTATGGTTTGTTAGGATAGGACAATATTATATTGGCTGAGATGCATATATTTGAAAATCTGGAATCTAAGGGTGCAAAAAAATCGAAATATTGAGAAAATTGCCTTTAAAGTCCAAATGAAGTCCTTAGCAATGCATATTACTAATAAAAAATTCAGTTTTAATATATTTATGGTAGGAAATTTATAAAATATCTTCATGGAACATATTTACTTAATAACCTAATGATTTTTGGCATAAAAGAAAAACCGATCATTTTGACCCATACAATGTATTGTTGGCTATTGCTACAAATATACTCGTGCAACTTAAGACTGATTTTGTGCTCCAGGGTCACAAATAAATGTAAAAAATCTCTCAAATTGACCATATGTTGTGCATCCCCATTTAAATATTGATAAGATGTTTAATTACCATATGTATCTTTAAGTTTAAACCGTTATTATATACATTTTCTTTATTTTTTTTCAGAGCCTGCCCTTCACAAAAATAGCTCACAGCATCACAGCACAAGACCATCAGCCCACCCCTGATAGCTGCATATTGAGTATGGTAGTAGGCCAACTAAAAGTAAGTATTTTCTAAATTTAATTTTGACCTCTGACAGTTATGCTATTACAGCAGCGCTTGAGGTGAACACTTTAGACAAATATGTATGTGATAAGGTCTAGGAGGGCATTCTCCTCATTTAAAATGCATAACATCACCTTAATCCCAGTGGCGTTTAAATCGAGAGCGGCCGTGGACAGTTTAAGCCTCTCTTGATTGCCCTCTCGCTCCACCTTACGTGACATAGTACTGCATAGTCCAAGATTTCATAAGCATTTCAGAGCTGTAGTGTATGTGTGTTTGTCTATCAGGCAGATGATGACCAGGTGCTGGGCTTCCACCAGACCTTTCTGTTGAAAAGTATCAACACTGCCTGGGTTTGCACCAATGAAGTCTTCAGGCTTGCGCTGCACAACCTTTGAGCTTAAAGGCTCTCGGTGGTCACATGGCCTTTCCTCCTTCTCTTAATGTCTGTAAGGACCAGTGTCCGCTTGGGTTCACGCACACCATCGGGCCTCTCTACTAACGGCTTTAAGCTGTGTTCAGATCGAGCGTCTGTGCGGATTTAGTATGTAGGGATGTGCTGATACGAGTATCGGTACCGAACGGTTCACGGGGAAATTTCCAAATGGAAGTGATCATTCCTATCCCCTTGGAGTGGGGACTTTGGAGTGAGCAGGGCACGTGCGTACCATTACAGGTGCATCTCAATAAATTAGAATGTCGTGGAAAAGTTCATTTATTTCAGTAATTCAACTCAAATTGTGAAA